GTATATAATTTGTTTTCAGAAATATTCTTCCAAGGGATTTGTTTTTATTATGTTGCTACAACGCCTTCTTGTGTCAGGAGTCAAACTATCACTCACAAGAATTTATTATAGTGTTATCATCTACGATTTATGCTATTTTTTTACCATTTTGTTAAATGTAAGACTATATCATTATTTGCTGGTGAAATTTATAAGTTATATATTTGCATATGTATACCGCCACTTAGTTTAACATGATATGTATAGGAGAATTAGGTGGGACTACATTATCAATAATCATTGTATGTTTTATGTTCTCAATGGCTCGATTTGAAGGTTGTAATTTTGTTACTCTGGTGCAATTGCTCACTGGAAGAGTAGGGAAAGGTGAGTGGATCTGACACATGTGTTGATTCATATTTTACCAATAACGCTTTGTGTTTCTCTTGTCGAGTACAAGTAGAGATCCCATTCGGCCAGCTTTAGTTTGCTAATTCATCACTGCTTTGTATCTATTCTTTGTAAAGGTACATTCTCTAAGGGGTACCAACGCATGGTTGGCCAACAAATGCTACCAATCTTGCGCCACTTCAAGTAAGAAGCGCTAAAGTTCGTATGTCCGGTAAGCACTATTTTTGTGGTTGATTTAAGGGTCCAAAAATCAGAGTTATTTGGATTGATAGAAAATGTTCGCTATTTAGGAATCATGAAATTTCTGTTGCTGTGAATGAATTTCCTATGAATGAGATATTGGGCTGCCATTTTACTAGGATGGTGTTATTTTGTCAACTCTGTTATTAATAGCCATTTAATGTGTTTTTGTTTAATAATATATTAGTTGCAAGCATGCGTGGTGTGAAGGAGGCATAATGGGACATGTGCAGAGTGAGAGAGAGTACGAGGGATGAAACACGTGCGGGGAGGGACCCACGGAGCCTCATCTCCCGCTCGAGAGATTAGTTTAAACATTCCCTTCCGGTATGCGAGGTTCAGTGACAAATATGACGTGAGGTGGTCGAGCTCATCTCCTGCACTGACAATGGAGTTAATTGTACACAACTACCACAATTGGGGCATTGGAAGCAGATTGATACCAAGTTTGGTAATTTTTACGTGTCAGTACCAAGTCTGAGGCTACCCATTACAAAAAGGTCTAAATCGCCTATAAACGCGTATTGACGGTGCATCTGACCGGCGGGGCCCGCCTGTCG